CCCAAAACCCCAAAACCCCAAAACCCCAAAACCCCAACATTACGAATTTAATATATAAAATATAATAAAATAAGTCTAAGAATATATTTATTGGCTTATTAAGTTCATAGGTTGATTTAGCATTTCTTAACATTGCCTGTGTCATTTAATGTAGGCTAATTACTGCTATTCTAATTTGCATTTTGATTCATGCCAAGCAATAAACTCATCTCTGTAAAGTTAAGACTGATGCTCATATTTCTATCTGTTTAACCTCCATTAGTCTAATTTAACTTCAGCTTTTCACCCATCCTCTAAAAATTAGAAATTCCATTGCTAGTCACCCTCATTGGTGACTTATCCATTACAGAGGAAGTTACTGATTATTCCCTAATCTCACTTCTAAATGATTATGCTTGAATTGGGGATTTGTTTGTACTCTTGCTCTTAAAGTTGTGCTTTTTGTTACCTTATACTTAATCCTTCAAAGTTTTGAGATCAATGTTTGGGTCTTTTTAGACAATTTATATTCTTTCATAACCTTCAGGATTCATCTTTGCCAAATACTTCTCAATTTTGACCATTTTATTTTCTTCATCTTATACCATTAGTTTATCAGCGGCTTGCTTCAGTTTTACTGCTCTGCCTTTGCATCCTAAAATATACAAGCCAGTTTAAACATTAATAGTCTCCCCAATCATATACAGTTTATTCTCTTTAAAATACTTAATAACGAACTAGTCCAAATTATCTTTTCTATCTCCGTTTCCTCTATAGGTAAATTTCTCCTTGTACTTAGCTTCAAGTTTCTCCGCTAGTAGTCTAATCTTGAGATCATGAGCTAATAAATGTTAGTTTTATTTCTTGATCGTATCATTCTAAAATACATCTCTTTTTTGTTATTAATATAACAAACTTGATTTCTCTTATAACTTCTATAGTAGACATTCTTTTTCTTTCTCAAATACTTAGATCATTCTCACATCTCTTGTAATATCCTGGTAAGTTTAATTCTATTCAGGCAAAAGATATGTATTAATTGAATACTTCAAAGCTTATATCTTTCCTTGTTGATTGAGTTATTCCATTGCTTGCTATTGAATCAACTATTCCTGGTTTAATACGAATTCAGCTATGCTCTCATTTTATGCTTAGGCATTTTCTAAGAACAATTTTATCTTTTCCAAATGAGTATGCAGTTATATAGAATCTTCCTCAGATAGTTCACTGAACTTTAAGTCTTTGATCTGAACTTTCATATCGTTGAATTTAACGATTATTTCATCAACAGATGTCTGATCTATAGTAAATAAATCTTCAGTTATTTATGGCTGCAGTATTTCTAACATTTCATTGGCGATTCTTCTCAATTTTTCTTGAATGCCTTATCTTTAAGCTTTAATATCTTGACCTGGATTCGATTAAGCAGCTTGAAATGATTGGTTAAGTGTAATTTCTTTACTATTCTTAATTGCATTAATAGAATCTTCATACTTAATGATCTATTTGGAGATTTTAGAGATTTCTTTCTTGTAATAGGAGTATTACTGATTTAGATTAAATATTAGTGTCTTTTAGTCAATTAGTTTTTATCTAGAGTTTTTTAGTTGCTACCTCTTCTACTTTCTAATCGATTCGAGTTGATTTTCTCTTAATGATATTTCTTGCTAAGAATTGTAAATTTGATTCTAAGTTATTTAGAAATCAGTCATAAGTTTTAAGTTTGCAGAAGATTGTTCTAGTTGCTACTGTTAAAGTCTCTATAATTCTAAATTATTTATGATATTAGTTTTCTCCAACATTTTTTCATCCTCTAAATTAGATGTTAGATCTATTAGTTTCTCGTCCTTTATATCACTTATATTTCCTGAGCTTGAAATTTAGTTTATTTGAATATCAAATAACTTCTACTCTAATTGTTGATACTAAGATTATAACTGAATTAACTCCTATTTATCAGAATTTTCTTGCAATACTTTGAGATTGAGCGAATCATTCTAATCTATTGAGCTGCTTAGCTGTATGTTCAAGTCCTTTATCTGCTATTCTAAGTAATTCAGAATTTCAGATAGCTTTTTGCCAGACTCCTCAATAATATTTGATTGAATATTGTTCTCCAAGACGATTTCATTGTATATATCTGTATATGCCTGCTGTTCAGGAACATTTTTAGCATGCAGTTTGCATAACTTTTTAATTAGCAATTCCAAATTATCTAAAACTCTAACTTTCTCTGCTTAAGTTTTGAATTAATTTTATTGCAGCTAAGACACTTATGGCATTATTTGGTTATCTATCATTTTTTTTATCTTTTCAACTTTCTCTCTTGGCTTAAGCTCAACAACCTTTACTTCTAAAATATTAACTTATGGCTAGCCTCTATCAAAGCTTTTATCTTTGCCTCCATTTTTAGTTAGATTAGATTTGAACTTTTTGTCCATAGACCTACTAGCTGATCTTTAGTTGGCTGGAATTTATTATTTTTACTCTTATTTGTTAGGCTTAAATCTATTTGGTGTTCTGTCAGTAGAATTTATTCTTGATTAGCCAAGCTTAATCGAAGTGGTTGGTACTTTGTGCTTAATGACTGGTCTCGTCTTACTATTTGGTTTTGACTAGCTCTAAGTAGAAACAAATGATTCAGATAGCAGCTTGTCCTTTCTTTGCTTCTTAATCTGGCTGTATAAAGAGCTCAAATTAGCTTCTTGCTTTTGGAAAGATTTTGATAAAGATCTATTTGTAGACATTAAATTCATTTCTTCAGCATCCTTTTGTTAATCTTATAAGGATTATTTCATCGCAGATGGTCTTTTCAAGTTGCTGTTGTTGATGATTGAGAGACTTAGTCTATCTGATTTTTGAGATTTCAAAGTTGGTAAATTTTCTGTTTAACTTTCATCAAGGACAGACATGCTATTTTCAATGCATATTGAATTTCTATTTTTTGCCCTTTTTGCATTTATAAACCCAGCACTTTCAGTCTTAAATTTATCAGCATCTAATAAATCTTATTCAGTAGCCAAAGAACATTTTATTTTGATCTGAAGTTTCGAGTTACTTTCAAAGTTAGTGTTGCTGAAGAAATTAGTATTGCAACTACTAGAATCATCGATAGTCTCATTCATCTCTGAAGCATAGTTATGATGATCACCATCTTCAGTCTTGAATTAATCTCTCTTTAAGTTGAACCACTATCCACCTTCATTATCATTGCTATCCTTTTGATTGATGAGAGCATCTAATTTGACATTAAGTGAACCAATCTTAGAATTCTGCTTGTTTTGAGATTAATTAACAATGATTTCAAGTTCTTTTTGCAGAATTGAAGAAAGTTCTTAACCTTAAAAGATTATGGGAATGCCCTCTGCCTGGCCAAGTGATTTTCTTGTAAAAAAATCATTACCAATCGTTATGTACAGACTGATATCATGAGGATTTTAAACTTTCTATTGCAGCTTTTAAGTGAGGTTCAGATCGACTACTGAAAGAAGCATTTATATTGATTGCTTAGACGAATCCATTTGTGGAGTTTGAACTGCAGTGATAATGCCAGTGAGATCGATGACTGAATTTTAGGCACTTCTTTTGTAGCAGTTAGATTGCTATGATTTCTACATTAATATATTAACAACTAATAAATCTCTGCCTATCTAATTATATTTTTCAACATTGATTCCAAACATTAAATCTAGGGGTTTTGGGGTTTTGGGGTTTTGGGG